CAGACGAGGTGGTGGAGGCAGCTACAACGGTAATGTTTAAGACGCAACAAAAACAGAAGTTGCTGGAAAAGCTCACAGGTCTGGCAGCATCTGTGAAGAGAAATAAGAGTTGACGTTTCCGGTCCAGTGACCCTTCCTCAGAACTGATGGCAGCTAGGAAAATGCTAGTTTATATGCAGAAAATAGGGAGGGGGATGGGGGTAAGGAGTAAATGGTAGGTGTGGATAGAGACCAAAGACAAAGAAGAATAGTTGGACAAAGGAGTTGATAAGGGTGAATAGCTGTTAATGGGGACTGTCAGTGGCTAACAATAGGTAGTGGGTAATGGCAGGCTATGTGATAACAAAGCCTGGTGTGTGGGGTAGGGGGCTACACATGGGAGAGTTCAGGCCCTAAAATTATTGAACTTGAAATTGAGTCCGTAAGGCTGCAGGATCCCCAAGCTGAAAAATGAGGCGTTGTTCTTGAAGCTTGTGCTAAGCTTCGCTGGAACACTGCAGCAAGCCAGAGACAGAGATGTTGGCCAGGGAACAGGGTGGTGTGTTGAAGTGGCAGGCGACTGGAAGCTCAGTGTCATTTTTGCGAGCAGAATGTAGGTGCCCGTGGCCATCCCTCTGAACTGAAGAAAATAAGAGAGTTTAAAAGAGAAGTTCTTGAGGGTGACGACAAGCTCGGCCAAGTGGAGGAGGGTGGTGGTGGGTGGGGATAGTTCAGGCCTTTGCTCCAGGAAGAAGTGAAGAGTCCCGAGACCCTCCTGGTGGGGAATGGACGTATAAAGGGATTGCATGTCCATGGTAAAGAGGAGGCGGCTGGAGCCTGCAAACTGGAAATTCCAAAACCAGCCTAAGCCGTCAGAGGAATCGCGGATGTACGTGGGCAGGGATTGGACCAGGGGAGAAAAAGGCTGAGTCAAGGTAAGAAGGGATGAGTTCTGTGGGGCAGGAGCAGGCTGAAACAATAGTCCTGTTTGTGGATTTTCAGGAGGAGGCAGAAGCGAGCTGTGTGGGACTGGGGGTCTATCAGCTTGGAGGCAATGGGACAGAGATCATCAGATGAAATGACCAGTGATCATAGTTGATACAATGGCCTGATGCATCATGGTGGGGTCATGGTCCAGGGGAGATTGGAGGAGGTATCTGAGAGCTGGCGCTCAGCCTCTGTGGTGTAGAGGTCAGTACACCAGACTATAACAGCACCACCCTTACTGGCAGGGTTTATAACAAAGTTGGGATTGGATCCAAGTGCACAGAGCGCAGTCAGTTCGGAGGGAGACAGATTGGATTGGGATGAGGCGGTGGGGCACAGAAAATGAGGTGACCAATGTCACATCAACAATTCTCAATGAACAGATCATGTGCAGGTAAAGGGCCAGAGGGAGGGGTCCAGGTGCAGGGAGAGTGTTGAATGTTTAAGAAGCATCTTGACAGATATATGAATAGACAGGGAACAGAGGGATATAGACAGCAAAAAGTTTTTAAGTTTAGAAAGGCATCATGTGTCAGTGCAGTCTTGGTGGGCCGAAGTGCCTGTTCCTGTGTGGTATTGTTCTTTGTATTGTCACTTTCATTGCCCTGTATTCCTGGCATGAAACTTGTGCCTTTGATTGTGAAGATGAACACACAATATTTGTACAATGCATTTGTTATTCCCTCATTCACCAAAACAATTTCTCCTATAGCTGCTTCTATGAAACCAATATTTACTTTAGCTACTCTCCTCTTTTTAAGATACAGGTTAAAGATCTCATAGTCTGCGCTATAGTCTTGGCTAATTTATTCTTAGTTTATCATTGCATCAAGTTATTGATGGCCCTTTGCTAGTTCCCTAGAAAAAACTCCCAATCTTCAGACTTGCTACTATTCTTTGCAACATTATTAAGTTTCCTACATTTTAAATTATTTTATGGGGTGGGGAAGTCACTGGCTGAGCCAGTATTTATTACCCATTCTTAACTGTCCTAGAAAAGATGGTGGTGAGCTAGTGCCTTGAACCACTGAAGTTCTTGGAGTATAAGAATACCCACAATGCCGTTAGCGAGGGAATTCCAGGATTTTGACCCAGCGACAGTGAAGGAACAGCGATATAGTTCCAAGTCAGGATGGTGAGTGGCTTGGAGGGGAACTTGAAGGTGATGGAGTTCCCATATATCTGCTGCCCTCGTTCTTCAAGGTAGGAGTAGTCATGGGTTTGGAAGGTGCTGTCTGAGGATCTTTGGTGAATTTCTGCGGTGTATCTTGTAGATAGTACACACTGCTGCTACTGAGCGTCGGTGTTGGAGGGAATGGATGCTTGTGGAAGTAGTGCCAATCAAGCGGACTGCTTTGTCCTGGATGGTGTCAAGCTTCTTGAGTGTTTTTGGAGCTGCACTCATCCAGGCAAGTGGGGAGTATTCCATCACACTCCTGACTTGTGTCTTGTAGACGGTGGACAGACTTTGGGGAGTCAGGAGGGGAGTTACTCACCCCAGTATTCCTAGCTTCAGACCCTGCTCTTGTAGCCACTGCATTTATGTGGCAAATCCAGTTGAGTTTCTGGTCAAAAGGTAGCCCCCAGGATGTTGATAATGGGGGATTCAGTGAAGGTAACACCACTGAATGTTAAGGGGCGGTGGTTAGATTGTCTCTTACTGGAGATGGTCATTGTTTGGCATTTGTGTAGCACAAATGTTAGCCTAATGTTACTGCCTAATGTTAGCCCAAGCCTGGATGTTGTCCAGATCTTTTTGCATTTGAACACTGACTGCTTCAGTATCCAAGGAGTTACTGAGGAGAGATGGCATTCTGTCTTGTGGCTCTCCTGCATATACTTGAATGAATGAGACCAGTAAAAGATATCTAGAGTATCTGGACTGGGTTATAGATTCAAGTGTACAAAAATCTATTCAGCCTATCAATTTTAGCCAATTCTCAATTCATACTATGCTATTGGCTTTGTTTAAGTTTAAGATTCTCAGCTATGGTTGAAGTGTGTCACTTTCACATTGAATATGGACCTTAGCTGTATTATGATCACTATTTCTCAGCTGAACTTTTATTATGAGATTGCTAATGAATCCTACCTCATTACACAATACAAGATCTAACATACCTTTATCCCTAGTTGGTTCTGGAATATATCACTTCAACCAAACAGTCGCAAAAAAATTTTACAAACTTCTCCTCCAGGTCACTGTTGATAGGTCCAGCCTATATGAAGCTTAAAATCCTGCCCCTTCTCCATTGAGATTGAACATGAAATTATTGGAGTGTGTCCATTGGTGTAACTATTTTTACAAGGGCAGGTTCTAAAACAACTCATCCGTGTTTTCTGACAATTGCTAATCCTTATCTCTGCCCAAGTTGATTCTATTTTCTGAGGCAGGATCCTTCCTCTCTAGTTTCCTAGCTAATCCTTTACCATTAGGGTTACCCCTTGTTTCCTATTCTCTCTATTTTTTTTAAACGTTGTGTATACTGGAATACGTATAACTCAGCCTTGGTCATCTTGTAACCATATCTCTATGACAATGATTAGATTGAAACTACTGCCTGAGGGAGTGGTGGAGGCAGCATTAATGACAATTTTAGAACAAAATTGGGCAACTATCTAAAGGACAAATTGCTGGAGGGCTATTTGGAAAGGTGAGGTAGTGAGATGAGTTGAATAGCTCAGAGAACACTGGCAGTGGAAAAGATGGCAGGCAGCTACAGTATATCTGGGATGTATGAACTTGCAGATCCTGCCAAACAGTACATTATAAATAAATATCACAGCACAGGTAAAACAAATACATAAGCAAACCAACTACTGGGAACAAAAAAAAAGTCACAGGATAAAAGTGAGGAACATCTCTAGTTTATTGGGAGTTGGGGAGGGAGCTGACAGGCTAAACTAGGGGCTCAGAACAGTGACTGTACTCTCAGCGACACTGAAACAGCTATCAGGCAAGGGAGGGAGGTGGCTATACTGTATCCCAGGTGGAAAAACTGTCCCATAATACCGGAGTTCACCAGGAATTACTGCAGGATGAGCCTTTCATTCCCAATAGATGAGGGAAACAAATCCTGAGGCAGGAAGTTGAGCCTGACACTCGGTGTCAGAACTACTCTCATAGACAGACATTACTCACTACAGACTTAGCCAGCACAAGCCCTGAGGGATGGTTAAAACATTCCTTGCATTTAGTCCATCAACAAAATCCTGGAATTCCCTCCCTGACAACATTGTGGGTCTACCTACAGTGACATGGACAGCAGGTTCAAGAAGGCAGCTCACCACCACCTTCTCATGGCTAGCTCAGGATGGGCAATAAATGCTGACCCAGCCAGCAATGTCCCTGTTCCATGAATCATTGTAAAACAAAATCAAGGACACTGTTTGAAAGCTGGAAGCTGTGTGATTGGCAGCGCTTCAAAGTGACAGAGTTATAAAAAGCAGACGGCTGTAAGTCAGGACGAGAGAGGCCAGGGGACAAGCATCAGGAATTAATTCTTTGCTGAAAGAGCTGACTACAATCACAAAAAATAAAATCGGCAGCTTCTGTCTTAACATCCATTTAACCAGAGGTGGGAAAGGCGGGGGGGGTGGGGGCGAAGAGAGAGGTAAGTGGGGGGGGGAGAGGGGGGGGGGGGGGGGGGGGAGAGAGAGAGATGGGGGGACAGAAGGAAGGAGGGAAGGGCAGGAGGGGGGGGGGGGTGGTGAGGAGGAAGAGGGAATGGGATGGGGCTGAAGGAGGGGAAGATGGAGAGAGATGGAGGGAAGAGGGGTGTCGAGAGAGAGTGTGTGAGAGAGAGAGAGGGAGAGAGAGTGTGTGAGACAGAGGGAGAGGGAGAGGGGGAGAGAGAGAGAGAGAGAGAGAGAGGAGAGAGGAGAGAGAGGGACAGGCAGAGAGGATGGGGGTAGGGTAAAAGGTGTGGGAGGAAGGGAGGGGTAGGTGGTGGGGGAGGGAGGAGTAGGTGGTGGGGGAAAGGGAGGGATTATTTGGAGAGGCTTACAAGTAGCAGTACTGAATATGGACCTACCTCTGTCACAGCTACTCCAATGCACACGCCCAGGATAATGCCAATGTTCTGATGAAGCCAATCCTCAACATTAGACATGCAGCCCTTCATTAAACAAAACAAGAAATAGTCACACAATATTTATCAAAACCCTCTCACTGCCCAGTACATAAACCTCACTGATGTGAGTACTCTGTCACAATGACATCCACCATTTCCAACACAATATAACAGGAACAGATTACATGATAGTGCCAGGAATATGGTTCGGAGTGGCCAGGGTGTCCACAAAAACTTGGAAAGAGCATATTGCAAAGGTGAGGTGGAAGCTGGGCTTTTGGGAGCACCACTCCATCTCCATTGGCGGTAAAAACCTGGTATGAGGTACTCTCTCTGTTGTTGTACATGGTACAGGTCTGGCCCACTTCCCAAACCTGCTCCGTTGCAGTGACCCGAACCATCTTCCACTTCATCGGGAACTCTAAGATGGACTGTGTCCACAGGAAACCATGTGGAAAGCTCTGGATAAGGAAGGAATGTACCCAGCGCCATCCTCATCCTGATAGCCACCTTTGTGTGCGGCTGCATCAAGCTGTGCGTAGACCTTTGGTACACAAATGCTAAGTGTCACTATGTACTGAGGTTCTAATTGTCTCGGGTGTTGTGAAGGATGGGATTGCCCTCACTGCCACTGAATGCTCCAAATAGTTGGACTGTTCCATATCACCTGTCGTTCATCAAGAAATTTGCAAAGAAAAACACCATTGACCACCAGTCCATCAGGAAATGGTCAGCACACACCATCCTCGAGACCCTGAGGTAAAAGGAGGGTGGATCTTGTCACATGGTTCCCTGAGCAAACTGTCAAAGTCATTTGGTAGAATGCCTTATCACCAGGACTTTCTAACAAGCACCATTGTTTGGCTGGTGGTGAGAAGGACACCACCTGTGAGATCCTTTATGTATGCCCAGTCAGTCTGCACCACCGAACACTGCCCTCAAAGCAGCTGTGGGGACGATGAGACTGTCACACTTCTTCTGGAATGTGCCTTTGCAAAGAAAATCTGGAGGAAAATGCACTGATTTGTGTCAAGATTCGTCCCAAGCAGCTCCTTGCATGGCTTTGTGCTGTACGATCTGTTTCCTGGGACGCACACCGAGATAAACATCGACTGTGCCTGGAGATACATCAACTCGGTGAAAGACGTTCTTTGATCTGTCTAAAATTGTTGGTCTTCCAGAACAAAGAGTTGACCCCGACTGAGTGGTGCAGACTGGCACAACCAAGATCCGGGACTACATGCTGAGGGACGCACTAAAGCTCGGGCAGTTGCTGCCAAGATGCAGTAGGGAAAGACCATTGTCTGAGGTCTTCCCGCTGAAGGGAAATTGGGGTCCATTCAGTTATCGGACCCTCCTAGTGCCTCAAAGATATGTAAATATTAGTATTGTATATGTAAGAGAGGTTTTCGGTTTTGTTTTACAACTGCAGGGAATGCCAAATTTCTAATGTTTGTTTGTTCTTCCTGTGTAAAGACTGTACAGAACTGCTTCAGTAACTGTATTTGTACATGAAGATTTTTTATGAATAGAGCATATTTTGCAATTAAAAAAGCACACTGTTCTCCTGCAGATACACCCCATTATTGTCTCAATCACACATGGACAGAAAAATCACTGTCCCCCCCACCGGGTAATTAACCCCAATCACAGGAGGCCTGCGCTTTTGTGGAATCCCGATATTGAAGCCTTCAGCATACTCACCTTTTGGTGCAGAAACTTGTCTCCCTGACAGAATCCGGTCTCATGTCTTGTTCTGTTATGGTAACAGGAACATGGAAACAGTGTCACTGAGATGTTCTGGACGATTCTATTTTCCGTCCAGTTTGAGGGACTCATCCAACCACAACAATTCAACTGGAACAGAGAAAATAATCCTCAGAATACTCTGGAAACTCCGCAGACACAGACCGTGCATTACACTAAGCACAGGCAACAGGCAAACTAACAGTTAACAGGTAACTGACAGGTAACCAGTCGGAGTAACAACACAGACAGGGGACACAGTAATTACACATCCTTAGCACATCTCCCTGTGAACATGCTCTCAGTCTCAGTTTGCAATGTGCCACCCTCCCACTGGTTTCCCACAGCACACTCACTTTCTCCTGGATGTAGTCCCATGTTTTCCCAAAATTCTCATTTGACTGTTCCTCTGTATTCTCCATGTTTGGGTCATAGTTAACAATCACATGATGGATGATGTCAGATATCTCCGATTTTAGCTGTAAAAGAAACATGACATTTCATTGAAACCTGAAACAACTTGGAGGGACAACATCATAAATGGGCCATTTGTGATCGCTCATTCCCTATGCAGGTCTCACATTCCATACGGGTCTAACATTCCACACAGGCCTCATGTTCCTCACAGGCCCCACATTCTGTATATGAGCTGCATTGCCTACAGGGGCACCATTCTGTTGCCATCACTTAGTCTCAGTCCCTAACAGGCCTGATACATGTGAAGTGGTTGTACTGCCTGCATAGCTATGATTTCCAACAAAGGCATCAGTTCCACCGCAGACATCAGTCCACACGCTGGTTTCAGTTTTGAATCCCATGATGGAGCGCAGCTTGTGACACAGTGTACAGCTTGGGGTTTGGGGTGTAAGGAAGTTTCGTGAATAGCAGAGGAAGATGCTCCTTTCCACTTCCTGACCCTGTTGGACTGATTGTCAAGTAGCATGAGAGAGGACAGACAGCCCACATGGCAGATATTCTGAGAGAAAGAAAAAGGTGGCAGCTCAAGGTCCAGCCTCAGTGATTGATTGGTGAGTATTTTGCTCACAATGTTCCTGGGCTTTAAGAGAGATGAATAATTTAAGGTTTTATAGTATCAGTGGAGTTTCATAGCAGTAATAAATAGTATCCATAATAGTAGAGTTTTGATGTTGTATAGTTTTATAGCAAGGTTAGGAGGCAGTGCAGTAGAGTCACAGTGGAACACGATTAACAAAATAGTTAATAACTTGCAGCAACGATTTACCTTGGTGAAGAAGACAGGGTTTTGGAAAAGGAAGCTTCATCATCTGCAGCTAAATAAGAAAGTTAACAGAGACACTGTACAAATTTGCAAAGATTGGTGACACAGTCTGTCCAGTCCTCGACTTGAGAACCAGTAAAGAATGACTGTAAAGATAATAAAGCCGCAGAAAGCACAGCATGAGAGAAAGTCAGCTACCAACATAAAATCAGGCCATAAAAGCTTCTGAATGGGAAAAGAGTGACTTGCAGCTAGAAGACAACTTATAAAACTTCCAACATTTAATTAGGTGATAGGGAGGACAAATTTACAACAGTCATCATCACTGGGGTGAAGGCACACGATAAACTATGGGGCCTAAAGGTTGACAATCCCCAGAACCAGGTGATCTGCAACTGAGAGTCTCATGGTAAATGGCATTACAGAGACTAGATGCAATGGTTAGATGCTTCCAAAATTCCTTACATTCTGCAGTACTTTCAGCAGCTTGGAAAATTGCAAATGTAACCCCTTTATTTAAAAGAAAAGGAGGGGGGAGCAAAAAGCAAGAAGCTACAGGCCTGTCAGCAGAGGAGCTGTCTGATAGAAAAGCCTAGAGTCCACTGTTGAGGAAATTCTACCAGGAAATTTATAAAACCACAACGTGATTGGGCCAGGTCAACATAGCTGCGTGAAAGGGAAATCATGTTTAACTTATTTATTTGAGATTTCTTTAAGAAAGTAACATTCACTGTGGATAGAGGGGAACCTAGAGATGTGGTGAATTTGGATTTCTAAAATGCAACCGGTCAAAGGTTCCCACACAAGGTAAGTGTTCCTGGCGTGGGGCTGATCCACCCATATTGAGAAAGGCCTGGTTTGTTCACATGAAGCACATAGCAGGGATAACTGGGTCGGTTTCAGGTTGGTGATTGGTAACTAGTGCACTACCAAGAGGGATCAGTGCACGGCCCTTAGCTATTTACGATCTTTATTAATGATTTCAGTGACAGGAATGAGCATATGGGAGCTCCGTTTAGCAATGACATCAAGTTAGGGGGTAACAGAGTCATGAGAGGGTAAACAGCCTGTAAATGGATACAGACAGGTTAAAGGATAGGCAAAAATCCATCAGATGGATCCACCAAAAGCGTTGGCAAAGATGGAGAGAGATTGCAGAACCCAGCGGTATAGACGGATGTGGGTCTCTTGGTCTATGAATCATAAAATGTTAACATGTAGGTACAGATTAGGCAGAGGCCCCACTCTCCCCACAGGCCTCTCGGTATACTCTGAGCATATAGACCACAAAAGAATGACGGCAGAGTGGCCAATGGCTGGAGTGGCCTGTGAAAGGACTTTGCTGCAAAGGTGGTTGAGGAACCATGGCAGATGTTTAAGAAAATAGTTGATGACCCACAACAAAGTCAGATGGAGGGTGAGTTGTCAGGAGGAAGCAGAGATGACATAGTGTGGTTTCAGCAGGATGAGTGAGTGGGCAGATACATGACAGACGCAGTTTAATGTAGATAAATGTGAAGTTATCCAAAAACAGGAAGGTAGATTAATATCTAAATGGTGATAGATATGAAAATGGACTGAAACCAGTCGCTGAAGGAGAGTACGCAGGTGCAGTAGGCAGTAAAGGCAGCAAATGGTGCACTGGCCTTCATAGCAAGAGGATTCAGGTACAATTATAGAGGGCCATGAGGAGAGATTGAATTGATCAGGATTATATTCACTGGGCTTCAGAAAAATGATGGGGGTGCAGGGGGAGTCTCATAAAAACCTTTAAAATTCTCACAGGACTGGACAGAGTAGATGCAGGAAGGATGTTCTTAATGGCCAGAGAGTCTAGAACGAAGGGTCAGTCTAAGTATATGGGGTAGACCATTTAAGACAGAGATGAAAGCAGTCGAGGCAAAATGAGGCAAAACCACTGAATGGTTTTAAGGAAGAGGTAGATATAGTTCTTAGGGTAAAGAAATTAAAGGGTATGGGGGCTGTATAGAACCCATTCCCCACATATCCCCAATCACTCCATCCACATTATCTCTCCCACTGTACAGTGCCCTGTATTCACTCCCACTCTGTCAAAGCCCAAAGACTGTTTCAAGGTTCTCTCTCTCTCTGAAACACACTCTCGTTCCCAGCTGTGCTCTCCCTCCCTCTCTGCACCATCAGCCCATTATTCACATTGTTATTCACATTGTTATTCACATTGTTGCCAGCAGCAAAGAGCTGCAAGTGCAGCTGAAAGTCTGATTGACTCACCGCGTCCCTCTGGAAGTAGATCAGAATCCCAGCCGTAATCTGAGCGATCAGGATCAGCAGTAAGCAGGTGAAATACTGAAAAACAAAGCACATTCATTCCAATCAAATCCCTCAGCACACTGTGGAAGAGCAGGTTCTCTGCACACTCATGGGCCTATGGGCTTGTCAGGAGGGGTTTCCTTGTGTGTGTGTATCTGTGTATCTGCGTGAGCACATGTCCGTCTGAGCGTGTGCGTGTCCGTGTCTATATGTACCTGGGCGTGCGTGCATGCGCGTGTGCGTGTCTGCGTACGTGGGTGTATGCATGCATACGTGTGTCAGCATATTCACGTGAACACATGTCCGTCTGAGTGTGCGCGCCTCCATGTAAGTGCACCTGGGTGTGTATGCACGAGTGCGTGTGTGCCTGTGTACATGGGAGTGTGTGTGCGCAGGTGTCCTTGTGGGCGGTGTTCACATGAGTGTGTATGTTTCCACATACAGGAGAGTGGGCGCATGCACATGCATGTGTCATTGTGTGCATATGTGTCTGTGCACCTGTGTGCACATGTGTACATGTATGTACGTGCATGCATGTTTGTGTGGAGGTGCGTGCATGTGCAAGTGTGCACGGATATGTGCACGTACATATGTGCATTGTGTATGTGTGTCTTTGTATCTGCGGGAGTGCCTGCTTGTGTGCGTACAAAGTATGAATGCACATGTATGCATGTTCTTTGCTGAAAGTGTACAATATTATTATTATTTTGGAACTCAGGAAGTAAAGCTGAATTCAATGGGTTTATGGTTTTCAGTGTGTGAAATTGATTTGTCTTTTTAAGGTTTAGAAACTCATTATTATCGCAAATTTCTAGCTCATCATGGGAGGTAAACTATATGATCTGAGTATCGAGTTGGTGAAATGATTGCTGAAGTATTTATTAAGTTGAGATTTTGTGATCCATAGACAGAATGGCCAGAAGCCAGGAGCAGGCTGAGTTTAGACTAAACAATCCACCCCAGTACGTGTTCTGCTTAGCAGCAAAGTAACTGGAAAAAGTCCTATGCTTTATCTTAGAACTAAAGTCGGTGAGTCTGTGTCTCCGTGTCTCAAGAAGAGACAGTTAGAGAGAATACATCTGGTAAACATACACAAATTGATGAATATGCTTGTGACCTTGTCAGTATGAAAGAAATTAAAGAGTGAAAACAGAAGTGGGCTTGAAAATCTGTAAAGGTTGTTTCTGGGGAAAAGGGTTGAATCTTTCATTTCTCTGTTTATGATAAGGTCTTTCCCAAATTATCTCATGCATATATAGTTTCTAATTACATGTCTTCTGCTGTGTAATAACTGTTGATGTCATTTTGTTAAAAGTACTTTGGCAGCTTCATGTGAATCTGTTGAGTAACTTGTTACTATGGAAACAAACTGCAAAAATAAAGCTTGTGATGTATCCAAGGGAAATCACTCTGGAATCAGATTTGTCCAGGATCACCATCAGCTGGAATCAATAGCAAGCTGGTAAACAGATGAGGGATCTGTGGGATCTTTAAAGGGATAAGTATGTGGAGGTATTCGTCATAGCAACAGGAGAATTGTCAGGAAGTATGTGACACAGAGTGGAATCTCAAAATGGGCTGGATTGTGGTTGAAACAGTTCTAGGACAAAATGTAACTGTGGACAGTATGAAATCTTTGACTATGGCTACACTGAGAGAGTAAGTGGCTACATTGAAAGTCCGATAAAAGCAGGATCTTATAATGACGAGGTGTGTAAAGTGGTTGCTCAGTTTATTGAGTGAAAAGGAGGGACCCTGACATTGTTAGGTCACTGTTAGAACTAGCTCAGATTCTGTGAGAAATCACAAGAACTTTGAACTGGAAAACCGTGTAACCAAATTGCAAAAATAAAATGTACGGTGTGTGTGCACGCGCGCGAGAGAGAGCGCCCGTGACACTGTGTACGTGTTTTGTGCGTGTGAGAGAGAGCATGTGTGTGCATGTGTGTGTATGGGAGAGCGTGCAGTATGCGCACGCCTGTGTGAGGCAGAGTGTGCGTGTGAGATACTGTTTGCGTGTGCGCTTGTGTGTCTGAGTGTGCGCTTGTGTGTGTGTGGGGGGGGCGTGTGCGGGTGAGGGTGTGTGCGTGACTGAGTGTGTAAGAGAATGTGTTTGCATGTGTATGTATGTGTGTGCACATTACAATGTATGTGTGCCTACATCGGTATGCACTCGATGCATATGTTCCTGTCTGTGTTCACCCATAGGCTTTTCCCCAGTTTTGCTCAGCGCCTGTTGTTTTTGCAGTGTGTAGTGATACTGAACCTGTAAAGCAGAGAAATTTGAAAGTATCTCCCAAGCTTCCATGATGTCAGTTGACCCAAAGACCCCAGTGCTCCAGATTTCCAATGGAAACAATGTGGACCAGTCTCTGTAATCCTGCAATAGCTGCACTGCCCCGACTCACCAATCCTAAAAGGCATTTGACTTCATTCACTGCTCCAAGGCACCCGAGGAATCCCATCAACATGGTCACAGAGCCGACTCCCAGCAAGATGTACGATCCAACTTTCAAAGCAGACGATGAGGACTCTGCAGAGAGCAAATCAATATTGAGTCAACATTCACTTACATCAGTCAGTAATGTACACTGCACTGAGCCCAGCTCCATCAAACTGGAAACCTGGGAGAAGCTATGAGGTCACTGCTCAATTTTATCAAGTTCTTCAGGCATGAAATGTCAAAGATTATTTCTTCCTGAATTTTATTCATCTTCATCTTCCAGTGAGTTGAAAAACAAATACTTCAAAAGACTCCATAATACTCCACTTAAACAGGAGTGCGGTGCAATAGGAGAACAGAGCTCCACTTCAACAGAGGCAGAGCTCCAACAGCTGGGAAATTGTTTGAGTGACAAGTGACAGAAAGTGGGGATAATGGCTAGGTACTCAGATTGGCAGGATCTGACCAGTGGTGTCCCGCAAGGATCTGCTTTATGGCCTCAATTAATCATGTTATTTATTAATGACTTGGATAATGGCATAGAAAGTCATATGTCTAAATTTGCTGATGACACAAAGTTAGGTGATATTGTGAACAGTGTAGATGATAGCACACAATTACAAAGGGATATTGACAGGCTAGGTGAATGGGCAAAACAGTGGTAGATGGAGTTCAGTATAAGCAAGAGTGAGATTATCCATTTTAGACCACAAAAGGATAGATCAGGATAATTTTTAGAAGATATGAAGTTAAATACAGTGGCTGTCCAAAGAAAAGGCAGGGTAAATAAAGATAAACTATTTCCACTGGTTGGGGATTCCAGAACTAGGGGGCATAGTCTGAGAATTATGGTCAGACCATTCAGGAGAGATGTTAGGAAGCACTTCTACACACAGTGGGTGGCAGAGGTTTGGAACTGTCTTCCACAAACAGCATGGAGTGCTGGGTCAGTTGTTAATTTTAAATCTGCGATGGATAATTTTTCCAAAGGGAAATTGGACTGGCATACTAGAATTCTTGTACGCTCATGTATTAAACCACAGGACAGGCCCAGCAGGAGAAGGAAGTGTAGACTGCAGACACTTACGTACGACGGCGATGAAGCTGGTTTTATCCAGGAGAATCCATAGACCAAAACCGAGGATAACAGCTCCGAGAATCTGGAGAACAATCCATACATCAGGGAGAGAGAGAAAAACAGGAACACACAAAATCCACAGGAAAGGGAGGGTGAGGAGAGAGAAGGTCTTGCTGAACTAACTCCACGTGAGGAACAGATACAGGAACATGCCCCATACTGGGACAGTCAGCAAACTGCTCAAAAATGCATACAGTCCCCTGACATGAGCAGCCAGGGAGACTGAACTGAGGGGTTTCCCGTACCTCTCTACAGGGACAGCCAGCGAAGGGTTTCCTGTACCTCTCCACAGGGACAGTCAGCGAGGGGTTTCCCGTATTTATCTACAGGGAGAGTCAGTGAACTGATCACAAAGGTGTGTACAAGAAGCATCAGTAAAAACAAGTTTCATTTTCCTGGCCTCTCCCAGTGATGCAATTTTCAAAACACAATGCTCCATTTTTAATGTTTCCACTGTTTTATTTGTCTGAATAATATCTTCCACTTTGGGGTTTTGTACATGAGCCTGAAGCAGCTAAGTGGCTGTTTTTAAGACTTATAAATCTTATTTTTTTTTCGTAAATCTATAATAGAGTAGTGCGTTCTTTTATGTTTTACTGAGATCTGTATCTTGATTAAATTTTTTAGAATATAAAACATAGATATTAAGTTATCCTAGTGCAGTGTTTTTAAAGCAGTAAGACTGTTATTTTCTGGGTCTGCAGATTAAGGTGCTGAGATGACCTGTAATAGGGTGATGTGCTCTTCCGGTCGGATGTGGGAGATTAGGGAGAAGTTCCATGTTACTGATAATTATGTCTGCAGGAAGTGTGCTTGGTTGTGAATCCTATCAGATCGCATGGATCAGTTGAAGCAGCAGTTAGAGGCAATGAGGAATTTACAGGAGCTGGGGGGTATGATCGATGGCAGTGGCAGGGAAGGAGATAAACTGAAGATACAGTCAGGTAGATTGGTTTCCACCAGGAAAGGTAGGAGATGGAGGCAGGTAGTGCAGTAATCTCCTGTGGCTATCCCCATCTCTAACAAGAATGCTGTTTTGGAAAATGTAAGGAGTGATGGACTCTCAGGGAAATGTAGCACTGACAGCCAGGTTTCTGATACTGAGACTGGATCTAATGTAACGAGGGGTATGTCAGGTTCCAAGCGATCGATTGGATTAGGGGTCTGTTTCTAGTCAGAGGCACAAACAGATGTTTCTGTGGCCAACAGCGAGACATCAGAATGGTGCCAGTTTCAAGGATATCTCGGAGAAGGTGCAGAATATTCTCAAAAGGGAGAGGGACCAGCAGGAGGTCATTGTAGACGCTGGTACCAATGACATAGGGAAAGAAAAGGATAAGGTTCCGAGGAGAGAATATACAAAATTAGGCAGGAGGACAAAAAGTATGTCCTCAAGTGTAATAATATCTGGATTACTCGCCATGCGATGAGCTAGTGAGAGTAGGAATAGAAGGATAGAGCAGATGAAAGCACGGCTGAGGAGCTGGTGCAGGGGACAAGGATTCACTTTTTTGGATCATTAGAATCTCTGCTGGTGCAGAACTGACCTGTATAAGAAGGACGGATTGCACCCAAATTGGAAGGAGACTAATATACTGGCGGGGGAATTTGCTAGAGCTGCTTGGGAGGACTTGAACGAGCAGTTCCCAAGGAGATAGTGAGAAAAGAGTCCGAGACTGGTGCAGTTGGGAAGAGGAGTAAGTCAAATAGTCAACACAGACAACAGCAAGGCAGAAAACAAGGTAAGACTGGTGAATTAAACTGCATTTATTTCAATACAAGAGGCCTAACAGATAAGGCTGATGAACTCAGGATGTTGGATACATGGGACTGGGATATCATAGCAATTACAGAGATATGGCTCAGGGATGGACACAACTGGCAGCTTTATGTTCTGGGGTGCAGATGTTATTGGAAAGATAGAAGGGGGCGTGGGCAAGACAGAGAGGTTGTGGAGTCTTTGGTTAGGGATAACATTACAGCTGTACTTTGGGAGGATACTCCTGGGAATACATCCAGGGAAGTTATTTGGGTAGAACTGAAAAATAAGAAAGGGATGATCACCTTATTGGGATTGTACTATAGACCCCCCCCCAATAGTCAGTGGCAAATTGAGAAACAAATTTGTAAGGAGATCTCAGTTATCTGTAAGAATGACAGAGTGGTTATGGTAGGGGATTTTAACTTTCCAAACATAGACTGGGACTGCCATAGTGTTGAGGGCTTGGATGGAGAGGAATTTGTTAAGTATGCACACAAAACTTTTCTGACTCAGTACGTGGATGTACCTATTAGAGAAAGTGCAAAACTTGACCTACTCTTGGGAAATAAGGCAGGGCAGGTAACTGAGGTGTCAGTGGGGGAGCACTTTGGGGCCAGTGACTATAATTCTATTAGTTTTAAAATAGTGATGGAAAAGGATAAAGTTCTAAATGGGAGAAAGTCCAATTTTGACAGTATTAGGCAAGAACTTAAGAAAGTTGATTGGGGGCAGCTATTTGCAGGGAAAGGGATGGCTGGAAAGTGGGAGGCCTTCAAAAATGAGATACCGAGAGTCCAGGGATGTTTTTATTAGCGTAAAGGGCAAGGCTAGTAGGTGTAGGGAATGCTGGATGACTAGAGAAATTGAGGCTACGGTCAAGATACAGGTGGCATATGGGAGGTACACAGAGCTGGGATCGAGTGAATTCCTTGTGAAGTATAGGCGCTGTAGGAGTATACTCAAAAGGGAAATCAGGAGGGCAAAAAGGGAATACAAGATAGTTTTGGTAAATAGGGTTAAGGAGAATCCACAGGGATTCTACAAATACGTTAAGGGCAAAAAAACAGTAACTAGGGAGAGAATAGGGCACCTTAAAGATCAACAAGGCTGCCTGTGTGTGGAACCGCAGGAGATGGGTGAGATACTAAATGAGTATTTCACTTCAGTATTTACTGTGGAGAAGGATTTGGAACATAGAGAACATGGGGAAATAAATAGCAACATCTTGAAAAGTGTCCATATTACAGAGGAGGTGGTGCTGGACGTCTTAAAACACAAAGATGGATAAATCCCAAGGACCTGATCAGGTGTACCCTAGAACTGTGTGGGAAGCTAGGGAAGTGATTGCTAGGCCCCTTGCTGAGATATTTGTATCATCGATAGCCACAGGTGAGGTGTCAGAAGACTGAGGTTGGCTAACGTTGTGTCATTACTTAAGAAAGATGGTATGGAAAAGCCAGGGAACTACAGACCGGTGAGCCTGACAGACATCGGTGGTGGGTATGTTGTGGAAGGGGATTCTGAGGACAAAGTCAGAAGTCACATGACACCAGATTATAATCTAACAGTTTTATTTGAAATTACAAGCTTTCGGAGCATTGTTCCTCATCAGGTGAAGGAGCAGTGCTTTGAAAGCTTGTAATTTCAAATAAACCTGTTAGATCATAATCTGGTGTTGTGTGATTTCTGCCTTTGTCCACCCCAGTCCAATACCGGCACCTCCACATCAAGGATTCTGAATGTACATGTATTTGGATTTACATGTATTTGGAAAGGCAAGGATTGATTAGGGATAGTCAACCCGGCTTTGTACGTGGGAAATTGTGTCATACAACTTGATTGAGTCTTTTGAAGAAGCAACAAAGAAGGTTGATGAAGGCAGAGCAGTAAACATTGTCTGTGTGGACTTCAGCAAGGTGTTTGACAACATTCTACATAGTAGACTGGTTAGCAAGGTTAAAGCACATGGATCCAGGAAGAGCTAGCCATTTGGATACAAAACTGCCTCGAAGGTAGGAGACAGTGGGTGGTAGGGGAGGGTTGCTTTTCAGACTGGAGGCCTGTGACCATTGGTGTGCTGCAAGGATCGGTGCTGGGTCCACTGCTTTTTGTCGTTTATATAAATGATCTGGATGTGAAAATAGGAGGAATGATTAGTAGGTTTGCAGACGACACCAAAATTTGTGGTGTAGGGGACAGTGAAGAAGGTTACCTCAGAATATAACAGGAGGACCTTGATCAGATGGGCAGAGGAGTGACAGATGGAGTTTAATTTAGATAAATGTGAGGAGTTTTATTTTAGAAAGGCAAATCAGGACACGATTTGGACGCTTAATGGTAAGGTCCTGAGGAGTGTTGCTGAACAAAGAGACCTTGGAGTTCAGGTTCACAGCTCCTTGAAAGTGGAGTTGCAGGTAGACAGGATAATGAAGGCAGCATTTGGTATGCTTGCCTTTATTGGTCAGTGCATTGAGCATAGCATATGGGAGGTCATGTTGTGGCTGTACAGGACATTGGTGAGGCCACTTTAGCAATACTGTGTTCAATTCAGGTCTCCCTGCTATAAGGAAGATGTTGTTAAACTGAAAGGATACAGAAAAGATTTATAAGGAAGTTGCCAGGGTTGGAGGGTTTGAGTCATAGGGAAAGGCTGAATGGGCTGGAGCTATTTTCCCTGGAGTGTCAGAGGCTAGGCGTGACCTTATAGAGGTTTATAAAATTATGAGGGGCATGGAGAGGATGAACAGCCAAGGTCTTTTCGCAGAGTTAGGGGAGTCCAAAGCTCGAGGGCATAGGTTTAAGGTCAGAGGGGATAATATGAAAAAAGACCTAAGGTGCAACTTTTTCCATGCAGAAGGTGGTGCGTGTATGGATTGAGCTGCCAGAGGAAGTGGTAGAGGCTGGTACAATTACAATATTTAAAAGGCATTTGGATGGGTACATGAATAGGAAAGGTTTAGAGGGATAAGAGCCAAATGCTGACAAATGGGACTAGATTAATTTTGGATATCTGGTTAGCATGGACAAGTTGGACCAAAGGGTCTGTTTCTATGACTCTATAGGAGCACTCAACTCTAACACTTTAGAACAGACATCTGGCCTTGTGTGAATTGCCAGCCAATTCCACAATCTAATTCTGCTTCACAATCCTTTCATTTCAGATTCGGAAGTTGTTGCGTCTTTTTGTGACATCCTAGATTGCTGATAGAAAGTGACACATGATCCATTCTGCCTCATTTCTAATCCAGTGCACGTAAAAG